CTATCCAACTATGTAAAATTGTATTATGGCAGCCATAGCAAAACCAAAGATGGTGGTGATAACTCAAAATCAAGTAGACAAAAAAATTATAAATTTTTAATGGAGAAATGTATACACGCGAAACTTACTTTTTTTAATTCTCGGGAATAACAAAGTTGTAACAAATTTTGGTTTTTAATAGATTTTTGTTTTAATTATGGAGACTTGTAATTACATAACTTTTCTTCAGTTTAATGGCTTAACCAACCTGCACGTGCCGTGCCGTGCACCCTGTATATGTATACATAAATATATGTATACGAGACCCGTCGCATATAAGTTGGGACAGTGAAGTCAATGGTTTCAGTAAATCCAGAATTTCTCCCATTTTTTTGTTTTTGGACAAAGTATGATATTTCTTATAGTATAATTCCTATTGACATTTAAAAACCTCAAAAACATCTTTTCACTCTTGACAATATTCATAACAGTTTTACACCTTAAATTTATTCCAGAGCAAATGGAGTATACAATATATTGTTCACCATGTATACCTTACTATAGCAATATGCATACATACATGCGTACTTGGCTAAAATCGCTTGCAAAATCGCAAACAAATATAAAATAAAGTTATATATATATATATTAGGGTGTGCCAAAAAAACTCGATATTTTTTTTTTCTTGCTCTCCACCCAAAATATCGTAGAATATGTCCAAACAAATATTCTGTTAAAAGCGGAGCTCATAATTTCAAGTTTAAGAGGTCCCTCATCGAATCTGCCGCTTAAATAACACAGAAAACTGACTTTTTTACCTTATTTATTCTTGCAACCTAGGAAGAATTTTTTTTTCATAAAATCCATGACTAATTCTTACAAAGCATTAAAGTTTCGTCCCTGCGGGGTCACGTGGTCACATAAAAAGATCACGCGCGTGTCACTGCTTGACATAAAACGACAAACTTAATCACTGTGCCAGCAATTGGATATCAAGTTGTGACATGTCACGTCGTGACTTTTTCGTAATATCACAAATGTTTACTGGGGTGTGCTTCGGTTTCATTGAGTAAATATCATCGATTATTAATCATACCACGAGTTATATTTAGTGAGAAAATATAATGAATTTTAGGATTTAACGAATTGTTAGTTTGGCATTTGAAATCAAAATGTGCTTTAAAATATAAAATACTTTAATAAACCTTATTTATTCAAACTTACCTTAATTTTATTATCGTTTACACCAACCCATCGATCTTTTAGAGTTTATAATTCATTATTTTAATCATTTAACAAACACAGTATTTAAATGTCAACAAATGTCAAATCAAGAAAAGTGTCAAAATCCTTAGCAACGTGTAAACAAGGTGATAAAAAATATTGCCGCTGTGATAAAATGCGTAACTATGGAATACTGGCATTTTATTGGTTCTAATTATAATGAATTGTATGAGTTTGAGTAATTTTGATCTATTTTTACTCTTTGAGATCTTCCTATTAAATAGGATTCAAAAAAATTAGACGAGTTTGGGTCAAAGCCATAGAATTTAAGTTTGGCAATTAGTAAAAGGTGATCCAAGGTATCGAAGGCTTTGGAAAAGTCTAAAAGAATTAATGCAGAGGCTAAGCCTTTATCCAAACTAGAAAAAATATTGTCAGATATATTTAGTAATGTGGAGGTTGTACTAAGGCCTTTTCTGAAACCTGATTGAAAGTCAGAAATAATTTTATTATTTATAACGTAATTGTAAATTTAAGGCTGAATAAATTTTTCCATTACTTTTGCAAGCACAGGAATTAATGCAATGGGTCTTAAATCAGAGTACGCAGAGGGATTGTTTGTTTTGGGCAAGGGAATAATTAGTGATAGCTTCCATTGTTCTGTAAAGTAACCTATTTCTAAACAGCAGTTTACTAAATGCGTGATATATTTACTTAAAAGGTTTTAACATTTTGGCGCTAATGCCGTCATACCCTGAACAATTAGACTTAACCCTAGAACCACAAGGTGGCGTCGCCGGTGACCATTGAAATATAAAATCTTAGATTACGCACGCATCAATTTTTGTACTGTGTTACGCTTTTCAGTACCTTTTTAATTATTAATGAGAAGTGTTGTACCGAAGTAGGAACTGTGTAAGATTTTCGAAACATAAAATAAATGTGAAAATTGCAATAAAAGTGTTTGCGCTGAACATCGCTTTTCTATTTGTATGGATTGCAAATAATATTCATTTTGGGACAAACTGCTTAAATTAATTAATTATTATGTCTTAATATTATTAATGTTTTAGTATACTATTAGTATACTATTAGTATATATTATTATGTTTATTTTATTAAAAATTGAGATTTTCTTTCATTTGTCAATATTTTTGGGATAAAAATCATAGTTGTTTATTTTTTGTTCTCTTTATTTTAATAAAAAAAAATTGATTTGCCATACCTACTTTCTTTTTATTTATGAATAAAACTTTATGAAATGACAATCAGAATTTTTAATTGCCTTATTTTAAACAATATATGGGTTTATTCTTGCCGGTCGTATACGACGCCACGTTGTGAGTAATGCAATTTAAATTTCACTTGTGGTTCTAGGGTTAAGATTTAATATAATTTTATTAATTTCATTAACGGTTGAAAGTTTAAAGTTAAAACAAATATCATTTTTAAATTTTAAATTAGCATATAAGTTTGCAGTTTGAAGGCATAAAAACAGAACCAAAGTAACTATTTATTGAGTCTGGAACATTTAAATTGTCTGGAATATTATACTTTGATTTGGAATTTATATTAAGGTTATTAACCGCATTCCATAGTTCTTTTTTATTTTGACTGCATTGAGAGAGTGACAAATATGCTTTCTTTTCTCGCCTTAAAGAACTAACCACTAAATTACGAAGACTTGTGTAGTTAATTCAATTATTAGTTATTTTCGACTTTTTATACACACCGGCCTTGTCTCGATCCTTCATTATTTGCTTTAAGGTGTTAGTTAACCAAGGTGCATAAGGTTTGGTTATACGCGAGGTTCGAAACGGAGCATGTTTATCAAAGAGCAGAGAAATATTATTATGTAAAAAATTAATTTTATCATTTATAGCATTTAAGTAAATTATGTTGTCCCAATTAATAGCATTTAAATCACTTGGAAATGACTCATAACAAAAGTATTTAAAATCTCTATAAGTAACTACTTTAGGTTTTGAGTGGGATATTTTAAGTTTTAGATCACAAAAAATTGTATTATGGTCAGAGATCGTATCAGAGTTAATCGTACCGGAAGCAATTAATAATCTAGGGTTGTTAAAAAATATTACATCAATAATTTTTGCAGTTAAACCTGTTATTCGAGTTGGTTCTGATATAAGCTGCTTGAAATCATATGAGCTAAAAAGGTCTGCCGCTGGATTATTAAAAGTTTGATCTATATTTATATCACCCAGAAATATTACATTGTCATACTGAGGAGTAACAAACGCCAATACATTTTCAATACATGAAATAAATTCGTTTATATTTGAATTTGGCACTCGTTATAAGACACAAATTAGAATATGGATTTTATTCATTTTAACATTCAAAAATAAATGTTCTACCCCATCAATAGGTTTAAAGTCATTTAAAACCTCAGTTGCATAAATGTCACTTGTAATACAAACCTCCCCCTCTACCTAGACGGTATTTTCTAAAAAGTTTAAAATTAGCTATACTTACAATACTGGAGCAAACATTTACATTCAACCATGTTTCAGAAATACAAAAGATACTAAAGTTGTTACAAACAATCAAATTACAGAGTGTATTAAAGCCTGTGAAAATAGATCTAGCATTTAAATGTCCTATTTTAACAATATTATTCATAATTGATTTTCTTTTTTAGTTGCTTAATTTTAAATAAACGCGTATGATAATTTGAATCATATTAACTATGGTTAGTTGACAAATTTAATCTATATTTTTTATTAGCCTTTACACAGTTTATACAAGAATTTTCTTCTGAAGTGCAGTCTTTCTGTTCATGAGAGCATCCACATAAACTACAGGAAGTTGGTGCTTTGCAATCCTTTATAATATGGCCATAGTTGTTACATTTATAACAACCCACTATACTAAAATGTTCTTTCACGGTACATCTCTTCCATCCAGTGGACAGCTTATCTTTTTTTAAGATTTCTTTAAAGATATTTGGAGACTTTTCGACTACTAAATTAAATTCCTCTTTGTTTTTTAACTTTATTATTATTCGCATATCGTTTTCTTCTGCGTTAAGATTATTAAATGAATTAATTTGAGAAAGCAGATTTTCATTATTAGCACTCTCAGCGTCGACGTTATATATTATTATTCTAGGATAGCTATAGGTACCTACTATTTCTCTGCTAAAAGTCTTAAAAAGTCTTATTAACTTTTCCAGAAGACTCCCAAATCTTGCTATTAGTCTGACTTACTAAGACTTATTCAGACTTTTTCCGACTTAATAAGTCTTATTCTGACTTTTTTCGACTTAATAAGTATTATTCAGACTTTTTAAGAGAAAGTAAGACTTTAAAAACTCTTATTAAAACTTTCTCAGAGAAAAATTTCCACAAGGGAGGGCGTGATATCTTATTTAAAAGGTCTTGAAAAATAGTCAAATTCTATTCATTCGTTTTAGAGATATTTAAAGTTAAAGTTGTAACAGCAAACTTCGTTTCCTAATCAAATATAAAAGTACAGATAAGAAATGTTTGACAGAAAATGAGAATAGTAGAAATTTGTATCAATCTAACCTAAATTGGGTGGGCACTGCAGTTTTAAGCGTAGGCAAGTGACCACCCAGGCCCACCCGTAGCAACGGCCCTGATAACATCTCTTATAGATCTAATCAAGTTTGCTATTGTTTCTTCTGGGATATTGACCACCCTTCTACTGCAACAATAAGCTCTTGGATCAAGATTGGGGCACGAAGTCTATAAACTTAGCTATAGCTCAAATTCTTTGTTTTAGCTTATCCCATAAATGTACGATCGGAATAGCTCGGGACTGAATGCTGGCCACTCCATAACACAAAAACCGACTTCTATAATTTTATCTTACGGTGTGCAGCCTCGCATTATCATGGATAAAAATAAATTCGTCTTCAAAGTAGTAAGGTACCACATGACCTGTTAAAATCCCCTTAATGTACCTTGCACCCGTCAAACTTCCTCTTCCGTGACCACGGTCTAGAAATTGCACCCCAGATCATGCAGGAATCAACCTCATTAGGAACCCGCTCTTCAATGCAGCATTCCGCAAATCGCTCTCTTGGTCTCCAGTACACTTATCTTCTTCGGTGGCTACCATAGAGGCACATTCTGGTCTCATCTAAGAACAGAACGGACCACCTATGTCCAGTTCAGATGATTCCGTGCAAAACGCAGTCGTGCTTTACGATAAGCTGGGGTAAGTTTTGGATCCATTGCAGGTTTTCTAGGGATCAGGTTACTTACTGCAGTCCTCGTCTTAATGTCCACTGACTAATAGCCACTCTTCGTACATCACGGAGCTGATGTTGCACTTGAACCGCATGCGCGCATTAAGGTGGCGATTTCTTAATGCTGTTGACACAATATGTAAAGCGTTTTCTGCCTATTCCAGGTAGTCTATGTCAGGATCCAGTATCCTAACCTAGGTTGACACAATCTTCGAAACGCTGCGCCAATCATATCCAGTTGTCGAGCAATAGCTCGCTGGCTTTTTGCTTTTTTACTAACAAATTTAAAAACGAATTAAATTATTAGTAAATTATTAAAATTGTCTTTTAAACAGCATTTTTCTTTTTTGATCTGATAAATAATTTGTAAAACAACCTAATTAAGGTCAAAAGTTTACAGTGGGCTGATTTATATGCACGTAGGTTATATTATATATGCTATACTTTTAATTCTAAAATAATAATTGATGCATCCTATTGTAGGCCCAAACCCCTTCAACTAACAGCTGGAAAAGAGGCCCTTTTAATAGAGAATGAAGAGGTTTTTAGAAAAAACGGTTTTATTTTTGTAATTGACAAAAATGGTAAGTTAATTGCTTTTTTAATTAAATATAAATATATTCAATAATTAATAATAAAAAAAAACAAGAAAAAATAACACTTATTTTTAATAAAATAAATGAAAAACAAATAAAATAAATAATATAAATAAAACATTCCAGCATTTATACTAGGTGTCCCGAGAATAAATAAAAGTTAAAATCATTTTAGTCCATTAATCCGTTAACGAGTTATATAATTTCAAAATAAAAAATTTCATGTAAGTAACCTACTTAATTTAAAAGTAAAATCGCGATTACCAACCAATAATATTAATGGCTGATATTTTAACTCATAAGGCTATTCAATTTTATAGAAAAAAAACGTTGTTAATCTTCAAAAATGCATTGTTATTTATGACTTTCTATTGTTACGTTTTAAAGCTTCTTATTTTTCAATATATTTTTATAATATTGATTTTTCAAAATGTTAATTGCTCGAAATTAAAGCTGAGTGGGGGACCCCCTTCCCTCCGCCTAACTACCCACTCGTGCTAAATGTGTTCTACCGGCCCTGTGAGTGATACGCAAAGATTTAAACATTAATGGCAATACTGACAGCTGATAAATTAAATGGGTTTTATTAATAGGTCTATGGTTTTATTTTATACCAAATGTGTACTTTGAATATTCAAATTGCATGATTGATAAATGGCTAACTTAAGTTCTTCCTAATGACTTGGTAAAAGTAAAATTTTCAGTTTCAGTTATTTGTTTTTCAGCGTATAAAAACTTTATATATATTTTTCCGTATGTGTGGGGAATTTTAGGAAGCTGTGGGGAATTTTACCACATGATGTGGGGAAAACCCGTTTTTTTAGTTGGCAGCGCTGGACGTGACTGCAAATTTTGTAATAGCTGTTTATATAACAAGAGCGGTAAGGAGCACAAAATCACGACAAAAACTGGGACCGGGGGGTGATTTTGGATGCTTTCGGAATCATTTTCCCGTTTTTTTAGAAATCCGAGCTGCCCCCCCCCTCGAGAAAATGCAATTTTAGTCAAAATTCGTGTAGTAAGCATGGGGTTTTTACCTTGGTAATACAAATCGGTGAAAAAATATTTTACATTAAGTATTGGGCTGCCTCATAATATTTCATAAATGTGGGGTATAGAAGCAAAATAAATAAAATTAAATTACAAGAAAACGTAAAAAAGAAATAAAATTTTAACGTTGTATTGGAAAATTGTGTTCTGAAAAATTTGACTAAGTGGTTTTGCTTCTATACTTCTCAAATATAGTAGTCGTACGCGTCTGTGATATCAGAGTTAAATAAGTTAAAGAAAACCGAGTTAATAGAAATTTTAACATTGAAAAAAGTGCCTGCCAGTTCTGTGAGCAATGATATAGTTACTAATTTTGTTAAAGAACTGTTTTCCACGGAAACTGAAAGTGAACCAGAGTCGACAGTTACCTGTGAAAAAAACTCATACTAATTAAGTGAATATAAAATTAAAAACAAATATCTTTAAAAGGAGATAATCAACCTAAATCACCTTATTTTACATCTTGAAAAGAGAATTAAAGATTAAGAAGAAATTTATTTTCTGTTAAATTCATTAAATTACAAAAATCAAATAAAATGCCGTAGTTCAATCTTGACTGAAATAGACCATAGTATGCCGTTTTTAGTACTTCGGTTGAAACTGTATTTTTTAGATTTTTTAAAAGGTAGCAAGAGCTGTTAAGTTGTTAAGCTGTTAAAAGACCTCTTTGTAGAGCGTTTACTTCAAATAATTTTTTTAAATTATATTTTTAAAACATGTTGTTTTCATTTAAGTATATTAATCCGTTTAAAAGATATATAAATCCCAAGTTAATTTTTTTCCATGCTATTTACATGAGAAATAGAAAATCGCGATGAGGGGCCTCTTAATAATGAAATATTAATAGCTGAAATTTTAACAGGCTCAATATTTTTCCTCTATGCAACTATTAAATAGTTGATTTTTTAATCAGTCTGATTTATATTTTTTAAAAATATTTGCATCGCGTAGGTGGCCCTCGATCGGACGGGTCCCTGGGCTGCAGCCCATAATACCCATGCCCAAATCCGCCCATTCTGCTGTAAAGTACTTTACCTCTATTTGAATTTTGTTTAAAAATATCCCAATAAATTATATCTGAAATACTCTTTTTAAAATTAACTTATTTCGAACATGTTAAGGATTTCTAAACCTTGTTTCAATATTGTCGTTTGCATTAATCAACATGCTCAACTCATACAATTTTTACGTTATGGGATTTTTTAAATATTTTCATGCTAAAATGCACTTGTACCCTTTTGCTTCTTACCCCTTCATATATTGTAGGTATTTGGATATTTTTTAGGCAAGTAATACATTTTTGGAGCATTTTCAGTTAAATTTAAGTTTTTAACCTCCTGCAAAGGTTTGTTGAAAATAAGTTATTATTATATATTAGCTAAATAAACAGTTTGCTACCTTAATAACAAATCCTTTTGTGCTTCAGTCATAATACCCAGAAAAAAATCGTCTTTCTTTAATATAGGATAATCGGTAGATACACTACTATGTGGCTTATAGAATAGAACTGAACCACTAGCAGTGAGTTCATTCACCCATGCATCCACACACAGCATCATTTTTATGCCGCATAGATGTTTTATTTAGGTTGTAACTGCTTTCGAAATTATAGAGATCTTTTTTGGTCAGTAGGTGAATCCGCTCTAAATGACAGTTGGACACGGAGTCCCTTATTTCATCTAGAATGGTCTGAAATGGAATCTTCTCAGGTATTTTTGCAGCTACTTGTTGTCGCTTTGACTCTGCCAAAAAAAGATGTCCTATGTCCTCTTCTTGCCTATGCCCAACATGTGTTTTGCAAAAAGTTATAAAGCATTTGGATTCTTTTACTATCACATTTATATGAGCAGGGCAATAGGCATTAATCTTATTGCTGCCTTGGGGTTTTAATAAGCGAATATTAGAGCCCCTTTTCTTAATATCACCAGATCTATGACACGCGTACATTATTTTTTTAATGTTTGGATTTTTTCCTGACCCATGCAAATTTATATAAGATGAAAAGGTGTCTTTCTCAACTTCGGCCTTCCATGCAAGAAAATCATTGAAGGAAGATAATTCTAAGGTTACTGTTTCTATTTGTAATAAATGGTCTTCATTGTAATGTTGAATTATGTTTTCTTTTGAAAAAGTTAAAAAAAAAAGTATAGATGGTTTAATGATTAAAATATGTAACACACATGTTACCCCTGGATGTAATGTAACTTACCTGGATGTTTTCGTTTTATATGCACCCTTAAATTTCCAAAATTTGAAAATGTGTCATTGCATTTTTTGCAAATATGGTCCCCAACCTTTTTTACAACTTTTGGAACCAAAGTATAAATTTTTTCTAAAAAATAATTATTTTAATAAGGTGATCATAAATGTAATCCTGCTATTCCATTAATTTTCTTTTGTTATGTATAACTATTAAGAAATAATAAAATATATCCACCAGGATGCTTTCTCTTTACATGAGACCTTAAATTTGCCATTTTCGAGAATTGTAATTTACATTCTCCACAATTCGCCATTGTTCCAAGTCCAAAAATCACTTGGGTATTATTTAAAACACAGTTTTATCAGAGTCCAGACACAAATTGTGTCACACAATACCTATTATACTATTTATATGATATAATTTATCATTAAAATCAACAGAAAAATACAATAATTCACCGACAGAAAACAAACTACCACACGTCTAATAATTTAAAAACACAAAACAACAACTCTTTTAAAAACAAGCCTTAACTGCAAACACAGCAAACAGCTGATGCTGCAATGGCGCCAATCCGGGCCCGCGGCGTCAATAGAAAGTATGAATCTCTGCAATCGATAACCAGAACCGTACACGTAGACCCTAGTCCTGTGTAGCTGCTGTCTTCCTTGCCTCGCAGTGGTTGACAGTTGGTGCTGGGTCTGGGACGAATCTTGGAGGACCGTTGGTTTTTGGTGCGTTGTTCGTCAGGTTCTCGGGTTTGAACTTGTATACTGGGCAATCCAATGAGTTCGCCCTTGGCAGTTGACACACTTTGCCGGTTCTGTTTTGAGCTTGGGGCATGTGTGTGTAGCGTGAGCCTTTGCACACTTAGGCAGCTATAGGTTTGTTACAGTATGCCGTTGCATGGTCCCATCCTCGACAACGGTGGTACTGCATACGTCTTTCATTTCGCCTTCTCTCCCACTATACTCTAGTATGAATGATATATCCAACTTCAGAGTTTAGATATTATAGTGTTATATTGGCGGACACTGTTACCATGTATATGGGCCTAATTGTGTTTTCGAGCGTATATATTTGGTATACGTTTAAGTCGTGCTCCTGGTGTATGAACTGAGCAATTTCTTCTATGTTGAATCCTGCGTCTAGGCCCATGATTTATAGGCGTGTTTCTTATCTTTATTTATGCCATATGTGAAGAAGGCTTATTTTTTCTCTTTTAGGTAGGTTTTTAATTTCTTAAACTCCTCTATATCTTTCGGGTATATATAATAATAATATTATATATTTATTACACAACAAATTACATAATTAAAGTAAATAAAGAGTATAACTATAAGTGATTGTAATAATTAAGCTAATTGTATATAAACGTAAAAGACAATATTATGAGTCAAAAAGAGAGAAAAAAAGCACAAAAAAGTTAAATCACCTGTTGCTGGAAAAGGGACCTTTTGAGATTACATTTGTAAGACTTCAAAGATAAGTTAAAGTTTGAGAGGTTGTAAGTATTAACAAGTTTGCAAATATTATATGTAAATGAGCGTTTATAAATTTCTTTTTTATGTTTAGGAACATCTAAAATTTGTTTTCTTCTTATATTTAAATTGTGAATGTCTGTTCTAAATCTTATTTTATCAAGCAAATATTTTGGACTTTTGTATTTCAAAATTCGATAATAAAAACAACACATATGCAGAATTCTCCTATTATTCATAGACAGCCACCCAGATTCAGTAAGTTTATGACTTATTCTATCTCTTCTTGTTACACTAAATATCAATCTTAAACAAGAATTTTGAAGATGCTGAAGTCTTTTTTTGTCAATACTATCAAGATTAATCCCATACACCACGTCACAGTGATTGCTATGACTTAACACCAAAGATTCAGATACAGTTTGTTTGGTTTTTTTGATTTAAATAGTGCCTTTGTGGATAGATCATTTTAACTTTTTTTTAAGTATAGAGTTAAATAAAGCTTGAATCTTAGTTTGCTGTCTAGTATAAGACCTAGATTTTTTGCATTGTCTACAAACTTATATATAGTATATATAGTATATATTAATAGAGGTCCCAAAATGCTGCCTTGAGGCACTCCTGACAACACGTGTATAGAGTCTGATGTTTTATCATCAATCTGTACCCTCTGTTTTTTATTACTTAAGAATGATCCCAAAAAGCAAATTGCGTTTTGGTCCAAACCTATATAGTGAAGGACAGAGAGCAGAATCCTATGGCTGATCATATCAAAGGCCTTGGAGTAGTCCAAAAGAACCAGAATACTTACTTTACTGTCATCATATGCCTTTAAGATATCGTCAGTTATGCAGGAAAGTGCTGTTGCGCAGCTAAAGCTAGGGCGAAAGCCTGACTGATTTTTTGGTATAATCGCATGATCATCAAGAAACGGTCTTAGTTGACTATGTGGATATAGAAACAACTTTGTTGTAAAGTTTCACGAAATTTATTAAATTTTGACAATTGTTTCGCTACACAGTAGCTTCTTCAGAGTGTATTAAAACTAATACTAGTACAAAATTTATATAACAAAAAAAAATATTGGTATTCTAGGTAAGGATTTAATTCTACATCTACCTGTGTTACATAATATTAAAATAGGATAGCATTAACAAATTCCTGATGGGAAAAACCTAATGTATTTATTGTTAATAGTTTTATTAGAGGGAAAATATTTTAAATGTGTAATTTGTTGTTGATAAAATTAAAATAGGTTTAACAGTGGTGAATTATTAGTTTCTATTTGTTCATTGAGAATATTAGTATTTTTAAATTTATTAATTTCTAGAGACTCCAATAGATTTAATTTTGTGCCTTTGTTTTCTACATGTAATATTTTATAGTTGTTATTAAAAGTATGGTTTTCTGTAATAAGATGTGCCGCATAAGCTGAATCAAGCTTTTGGTTAATAAATGATCTCCGATGTTCTTTAATTCTAGTATTAAAACTACGGCCAGTTTGTCCTATGTAAGTTTTCGGACAATCGGTACACGTTAATTGGTATACGCCTGACTTCTTATGTCTATTAGACTTATCTTTGTTGTTTTTTATGAAAATACTTAAATTGTTGTTAGTTTTAAACGCGATATTGGTATTAATGTTTTTGAAAAATGTAGAAACATGTCTCATATTGGAACCTAGATATTTACAGGAATTAAAGGTA